CACACACACACACACACACACACACACACACACACACACACACACACACACACACACAAAACACTAACACTATACTACCTGCGCTCACTCTCACTCGCTCAGTCGTCACTGCAATGCACAAGACCACAGCAGCGCTTCCGTATTGACTGTGAAGTATAATGTGTTGACGTCCTAGTGCTGCGGGACTTTTGTACTTGTTGATCCGCCTTCCAAACTTCTTAGCTGGTTTTGGGTTGGTGACCTCGCCCTTGTTTACTGCTTCTGGAAGCTTACGGATTCTCTTTGGACCTGGCTGCTTGGTTGGACTGACTGACACTTGGTCTAATGGCTTTTGATACCTTCACTGGAGCTCGTCGTGCCTACCTGAGAATATGACTCTTCAGCCCATAAAAGTTATCTACCAGGGACTTCCTACAATGATCAACTTAACTAACCTACCTAAGCATCTGTAAACAGTGTACAATCGAAAGCTACTCGTCTTTAAGCATGCATGGATATTGTACAAGTGGCGAGGACCAGTAATGGAACATGGAATGGGACTTGGGACTAGGACTCAAGATTGGAACTCCAGTATGAAACTTAGGACTGGGATTCAAGGTTGGGACTCGGGACTAGGACTCGAGACTCGAACTAGACCATGGTCCTAAGATTTGTGAATGCTTTCAAAAATGTCAAATGAATTCAAATAAACTGCGAAAGGATTTCATGCATCAGAGTCCCAATCCCAGTTCCAAACCCTAGTGCCCCTATATCATAGCCCAAAAATTAGGTGTTATAGGCCCAGTTCATACAATAAGCCGGTAGTTCCTACAATAAGTCGGTAGGCCTAGAGGTCCATCTTGTAGGCCTGTAGGTTAGGAAATCTGGTAGGGGTAGTTCACTACCAGTCTGTCGAGAGCCAATTGGCCAATCCAGCAGCTCAGTCCCAGAAAAATCCGTGAAGACTCCTGATGTGTCGAAAGCCGACGCGGCCAGCAGGCAAAAGGTAACGGTCACAAAAGGTCCGAGATTGGGAACCGCAGCGAGTACGAAAGTCCAGCACGGTGAAGCGTCAACACGATTTCCTTCGAGCATGTGACCGAAGCGCTGTTGTGGTCTTGTGCGGTCGAGCATCGAGTGAGGGTGAGAGACATAGTAGCCTAGTCGACACCGCTGGGCACCATAGCTAGTTGGAGACCCTTCGTCAAGACAAGTACACAGGGCCAACTGCGACAAGTGTGAGTTCGTACGCCAAGAGTTTGGAGTACCTTAGCCACTTTGTCACACCCGAGAGGATCAAATCCGTTGTCGGACAAGATCCAAGTCGTCCAAGAGTGGCCAGAGCCGGCTAACATCACAAATGTCTTGTTTCTCAGACTCACCGGCTACTACCATCGCTTCATCGAGGGTTATTCGAAGATTGCGGCCCACTTGACCAAGCTTCAATGAGCAAACTGGTCGTTCCACTTCAACAATGAAGCACAGGCAGCTTTCGTGGCTCTCAAAGCCACGTTGCTATCCGCACCGGTCTTGTGCATTTATAACCCGTTTTTGCCTACACGTGTCACTACCGATGCGTTCGGCTATGGCATTAGCACCATCCTCAATCAACATGATGGCGAGGATTGGAACCCGGTCGAGTACTTTAGCAAGAAGGTGCCCCCTGTGCATTCGATCGACGATGCACGAACGAAGGAATCGCTGGCCTTCGACCATGCACTCAAACATTGGTGGCACTTTCTCCTCGGCCGACAGCAATTTTGGTGGGTTACGGGGAACAATCCATTGGTCTTCTACAAGTAACAAGACAGTAAATATCACGATTGCCCGTTGGATGGCGTACATCAACCAGTTCGACTTCAAGCCCGATCACATCAAGGGCACGTCCGGAATCGTTTCGCAGATGCTCTTTCACGACGTGCGGACCTTTGCGCCGCAGTCAACTTTCAAGATTGACGATGATTTGCGACGCCATTGCATTCGTAGCTATCACGCTGAACCCGCTTTTCGCAACACCTACGCAAAGTGCTCATCTTTGGACCCGCCACCTTCCCACAACCAGATCCAAGATGGGTACTTGCTTGTTCATTCGCGGGGGAAGGACCTTCTTTGTGTGCCGAATGACACGGCTTCTTGGTGAGTTTCACAACACACTCCTACGGGGCACTTTGGTGTCAACCATACGATAGGTTGACTTCACCAACGACTTCACCAACGTTTCCATTGGCCCGAAGTGATCAATGGTGTGACCCGCTATTGTGAGTCATGTGAGGTTTGCCGATGTTGCAAGGCCCGCAATCATTGCCCCTTCGGAGAGTTGCGCCCCTTACCAGTTCCATCACATCGGCGGACTTCGGTCGCCATGGACATCACCAGACCTTTTCCAAAGCACAATTCCAGCTTTAATGGCATCCTCACGCCGGTGTACCAACTCACTAAGTTCGCCATGTTTTTGCCTTGTCGATATCACGCAAAGGCATTGGAGTAAGCCAAAGTCTTTTTCGCACCAAGGGTTTCCCCAAGGAGATCATATGCGACCGTGACACTCAATTTATGTCCAATTTTCAGACCAGGCTCATGAGCCGGATGGGAACTTCTCTCAAGCCGAGTTCCACCTGTCACCCACAAACCGACGGCACCGCCTGTCACCCACAAACCAACGGCAAAACAGAGAGGGCGCATCAAACCGCACGAGTTCTTCTTCGCACCCTCATCCAACCGGTCCAAAAGGATTGGGTCAAGTGACATCCGGATATAGAGTTAGCTCACAACTCGTCTGTCCACCCGGCTATCAGGATCTCTCCCTTGGAGTTCGAGCATGGCTCGCCGGCCATTTTCCCCTCGGATTTCATCATTCCACGCGAGGCTGCAAGCAATGACCATGGTGCCTTTATTCGTCGTATGCAAGAGCTTCTTGTCAGCTTCTTGTCAAAGGGCAGACCCAAATGCAAAAGATGCAGCGGCGTATGAGCCGAAAAGTTAATTGTCACCGACTTCCTTGTCCATTTTGCGAAGATGACCTCATCTGGGTGTCCACCGCGAAGTTTAGCCTTGAACAAAGACATCTCTCACAAGCTTGTTTACAGTTCACAGTGTGCTTGAGTCCTTGTCATCATCTTGGTGTTCCTTTGGTCATCATTGCATCGCTCACCCATCAGGTGAGCATGCATCAACGACAGACTGTTTCGTCAGAGTTTAACCTACTCATCAGGAGGCTGAACCCTACATATATATATTGTCACATTGTGAATCAGAGCGCAAAAAAGGGAAAAGAAAAAAGGAAAAGGAAAAAAGGGAAAGGGAAGGAGGTAAGGAAAGCTCCACCTGTTCATAACCTCTTACGTACAAGGCCAGCCACGTGGATGACAGGTTGAGCGCTGGCTGCCCCCATCCCCGTGTGTCACAAGGACCCACTTGCACGCAGCCAAAAGGCAAAGAGGTAAAGAAGGGGAGGAGGAAACCAAACCTGACAGGGAAAGAAAGATAACCAAACCTGACAGGGAAAGAAAGATAGGGAAAGAAAGATAATCCAATTATCGCAAAGCAAATAACACATCCCACAGATCAACATATCTTTTTTCTTTTTTTCTTTTTTTCTTTCTTTTTTCTTTTTTTCTTTTTATCTCTTTTTCTCTTTACCTGCCCCCACCTCGGCAGATAGGACAGCTACGGTGAGGATGATGTGGATGTTCACAAGGATGCCCAAGGAGAGCTGCGCCAGCACAGCATTCTGCAGGACGGCTAGCACGAACCATCCCATCAAAACAGTCCTGACAGAGGACGTGTTGTCCACATGTCAAAAACACGGCAGGATCCCTACATATATATATACGTATATATTGCCGAACACAGCTTCCTGGTAAACCGTGGGCAGAGAGGGAGAAGAGGACAACAAACGAAGGGCTGTGACAAACTGTTTTGCCGGAGTTTCACCGACTCATCAGGAGGCTGTATACATTATGACCAGGGCATATCGAAAAAGAAGTAGAATAGAAGTAAATAAGCACAAATCCATCAACATGGTCACTGCCATCATCATCCATAACTAGGCACCAGCCATCTCACCTTGATATATAAGACACCATCAATTGTAATGCTGACATTATCCTTGGTGATGGCCGATTGATTGGGAATGGGAATCGCCTCCTCCTTGAGGGAGTGGACGTATGCAATGCGGTCAACAAGTGGGATTAACAAATGGATTCCTGCCTCCAAAACTTTCGTGTACTTTCCCAGTCTCTCGACCACAAATGCACTCTTCTCAGGAACAATCCGAATGCCAAAGTTGGTAGGAGGTCGATCATTATACCTGCGCCAAGCGAACATCAACCAATGGATCGAATCAAATAATTCAATCAAGCAATCACTCGTTCAATCAACTAACCAATCAGTCAATAAATCAGTCAGTCAGTTCGTCAATAAAAACAATCAATCGATCAATTCATCAATCAGTCAGTCAGTCGATCAATCAATCAATCAACAATCAACCATTCCATCAATCCATCAATGAATCCAATACCAAACAATTGGTTCCGTGAATCATCTACGTCTGGGCTCGATAGTAGCAAAGCTAGGGAATTTTTTGGGGGGAAGGGAAAAAGAAAAAGGAGAAGACTACAGAGACTGGTTAATTCCAAGAGGAAAAGAACCGATACTACATTAAGCCCTTAAGCCTCAAGGTGCGCAGCCCTTCAAGATGTGAACACGGGGACAGGCTGAGTTGCCCTTCCAAAAAGTGTGAAAAAATATGAAAAGCTTCGACACGACCATTTTAATCATTATATCGATTTACTATTTGTACTCCCGTGTGAAAATTCCCGAAGACAAAGACATGGGCGGCCTTACCTTTTTTCTTAGTCGTGTCAGATAAGTAGTCACGGTCTTTTCAATTCAAACTTGACGATTCAGAAAACCAGAAAAGAAAGTTCCTCTCCCTGGCAGGCTTCACTCCTCCCGTTCAGTCCACACGACAGATCTCCTTCCATTACTGTCTCGTATTTCCTCCTAAACAAATACATCCTGTTTTCAATGTTTTTTAGCTTTCTCTTTCTGTCTCCATCTCTCTTGCTACCAGTCAAAGCACTGCCTACTGCGAAATCGCGCCAACCCCCTCAACAGACAGACAGGGAAAGAACGCCTGGGAGTCGGATCATTAATCAATCCAACGGAACATCTGGGGATGGAACCCCTCCTGGTAACCATGGTTAGTAACCACATCGATCGTGAAAGGTAGTGGTTGTTTAATTGTGTAGTACTGCCTTTGCTCTCCTTTCCTTTCCTCGCGCTGTCCTGCCCTCCTCTGCCCAGCGGGGCAAGGTCTCAGGCGGGCGGCTCTTCCTTCGTCAATCCAGCCTGGGCCCCCTACCCCCCCCAACCATTCCCCCCCAACATCGGCCACCTCTCCCTAACTCGACGCCTAACACCGGTTAGATAGAGTAACTGGTACCTGCCCGGGTCAAATTCGGGTTTCGCGATCACATTTCACTTTGGCCGGGGGGGGGGGAGGAAGGGGCGGGGGGGAGAGAAAGCTGACGAAAGAAGGTTGTGATTCGCGACCAGAGTTTTTCCTTCCCTCCTTTTCAAACAACAGAAGGAAAGAGAAACATCATCGCTTACAGCGGAAAGTCGTCATCTGAGATCTGCGCTTTCCCCCTTTCCATTTTCTTCTTTTTTTCCGCGACAACAGCATCATTTACTCCGCGTAGTAAAAAAAGATACACTCAATCTTGCAGCGGTGACCACGACGCGATGAAACACCCTCCCGCCCGCCAGCCCACGCCATTAATGATGATAACCCCAATTCTCACGCCCCCCCTCCTCGCCCTTGTTCCCCGCCTTAAGAAAAATAAAACGGATAAAAAATGGCGTCCATGGATCCCGCTCCGCAGATCAACAGCTATACAGAAAGAATTGACAGAAAGGCCGGGGAAGAAGGAAGTCGGCCAAGCGAAGGGCGAAGATAGGCTGCGACGAGGAGGTGCTCCCAGATTCCTTCCTTCAACCCCCCCGGTCCTCCGCCCCCCCCCGGGCCTCCGCACCCCCCCGCCTTTCCACCTGGATCACTATCCCCCCCCCATCGGACAAAGTAGTAAGCGATCGCTCCCTCCCTTGGATGGAAAACCCTCAGAAGGCCTCTCAGGCTCTCACTGAAGAGGATTCAAAAAACAAAACAGAAACGAAGAAGTCGGACTATGCTTCAAGATACGGCGGGAATACTCCCGATTCGTTCTCCACTCCCGATTGCACGATCTTGAGAAGCCGACGGCCATTCTTTACAATTAAAAAAAAAAAACGAGCCGACGGCCATTTCTCAAGATTCAGATCGTATAGAAAAATAAGGTGGACGCGAATCTTCACAAACTGCACTCCGGCAAAAAGCCGGTCGTACTTCACACCAGCTGCCGGCAGCGAACCCGCTATCGTCATCGATTAAATCCGGGCAGCAGCTGGGCAGCAGGGTGAGCGTTTGCCTCCGACTGCAACCCTGAGTGCTTCATCTGTTTAGCTAAAAATAAGAAAAAGAAAGAATGGCACCTGAGGGGGAAACAAGAAAAAAAAAAGAAGTTCGTTTTGACCTTGTTCCAGTGCTGCGCGCCTTTGATATCGTGTGTCTTTCTACGTGTGCTCAGAGATTTCCTCAAGAGTGAAGAGCTAATTTCTTCATCTCGCGGGATCGACTTTTTTTGCTCTCAGAAAGCGCAGGATTTTAGAGAAAAGTAAGGATAGGAGACGGCTTCCAGCTTCCCCGGGCCAAACATCTGCGCCTTTACCTCTCACCTATACCTGCACGCCCAGGATCTCCAACAAGGATGCGTCAATGCACACGGACAGATACGCAAGTCCGTAGACTGGGTAGCGGTCGTTAACCGAGTCCACAAATTTCAGCGTTTTCTCATGCCATGTACATGCAAACAAAACCTTTTCAAACAAACTTACCACCAATCCAGTGGATACCAAATTAACACACACACACACACACACACACACACACACACACACACACACACACACCTTGACCTAAAACGGAAATATAAAGAAACAAACCTCCAAAGCCAAGCTTCAGCGGTTGATCCCGTACCGAATCGCTGAAACTGTTAACCGGTTATGAGGGTTCGTGTCCATGGACGTTCCAAGCCATTTGAGCTCTTCCTGAGCTAACATCCAGTTACACCTTTTTTACATTTTCTCCTTTGACCCTTCGTTTTACCAGGTACCGTTCTTCTTCTTTAATTTAATAGGGGTTTCGACCCTAACATTACCGTATCCTTGCCTCGACTTGAACTCTCGGTCTGTTTTCCGCCAGTAGCGGCTGGACGATAGCGCAACAGCGGCAATACAAGGATAACTTCAGGCTGGGGTGTGTGTGTGTGTGTGTGTGTGTGTGTGTAAGTATGCACCTATATAGATTTGGATCTGGACATTAGGAAGAAAAAGACAAGACACAAAATGGACGGCTGAGCCGGGATTTACTTTCTCCTTGGTTTTTCTTTTCGTCCTTTGTTAACTAAAATGCCAGACTGGTGTCTTCTTGTGTTTTGTTCGTGCTGCCTGCTACTTCAGAGGTCTTGGTTTCTTTTCCCTCGGCAAATACGGATCAATCTAGTGGGTAATCATGTGCCATTATTTAAATAGGTATGTGTGGTCTTCTAGAAATTGGCCGGCCTGAAGAGAATAGAAATAAAATCCTCTGTCGAATCTGACATGACCTGGCCTTCGCAGCCGTCAGCAATGGAGCCCCACCGGTCTGAGACATGCATGCTCCAATCATGCCAACACTTGGCCCGTTTCGGGAGTACCTTATTCCGCTGCTCTCTCTCTCTCTCTCTCTCTCTCTCTCTCTCTCTCTCTCTCTCTCTCTCTCTCTCTCTCTCTCTCT